TTATTTCATCATAGGTGTCCAACCATTCAAAATTTTATATCAACATTCCAACACAAATGCACACAAGGATTTAAATTGTATTTACAGGTTTAATCGATTAAATCAAAAGTGTGGGTCTCAAGTAAGGTTTAATTTCCTTGGAATTTTTTTTAGCTGAAGGAGAAACTAAAGTCTCAATTTAAATTAGGAATAGGGTAGGTTAAATCTATTGCCTGGGAAAGCTGATGTATTGTCATAGTATTTCCTTCTGCTAGGCCATTTTTACAGCTATGACTTCATAGCATGGTGTCACCCTAGCACAGAAAATCTGTCTGGGCTTAATTAAAATGTGATGGTCATAGCCCAATGAAAGCATTGAAGCTACAATAATATTCCTGTCCCAGGTAAATGCACATACTTAGTTTTGGAATTATTCTATTGAAGATCACCTATTCTGCAACTCTTTTCACATCCGCATTCCCTCCCAGCACTTTCTTGATGGCAGGGACCATTTCCTCGCATCTTATGTGATAGCCAGCTTCTGCCCTAACTCACACTCGCACCTGAGAATCATGATCCCATTGCTGTCAGCTTTGGCCCAGAGATATGTCTGCTGCATTAAAAATTACCTGGCCCCTTACCCCAATAAATGTACGAGACTTTCTCGCCAGCCAAACACTGAACTCACTCAAGATTACAATTGGCACTTAAGTGCTAAAACATGTATGCAATTTATAATCTGCTAAAAATTGTCCAGCAACAGCAGCATGATTGCAGAAATATGGACATCTCGGACTCTGTATCAAATAATGACTCGTGAATTGTACAATAAATCTCAGCCAATCAAAACCTCTTTATTCTCATGTTTGTGAAACCAGATGAATGATTTCAATTCTGTAATGGGGTATACCAAAATTTATTTTGGCAGAAAATAATTTGAAAGGAAATTAACTAGACGTTGCTTTATTGGAACAAATTTAAAACTCCAATTGGAGTTGATTTCATGCCGTGTGCACCTACGATTTTTTTATTTAGCATTTTTCCTGTATTAATAATGATCAGTCACTATCTTTTCAATATCGTAGTGGTATGTGGGCAGGTAGTTTTGAAAACTGAAACATGTCATAGGTTTTGTATGGATCACAGGCTTTGGAAAAATATTGAGGAATTTCAACTCCCACTCATCATTCTCCTGCATTTGTTGGAGATTCTTATTTTTGGTGTGTTTTAATTCTGCACTGTAAAGGAATATTTACCTTTTTTCTTTATAGATGTATTCTTTAGAGTTGTATTCATCAATACTTTATACAACGGCACAGAGGAAAAGCAAGGAGAATCACAACAATGAGAAAATACAGACAACAGACAATTAACTGAAGATGACTGGGGAGTAGATCTGTAGCTCGGGTTGTGGGTGTTGAGGTTGGTTGGCTCGTCGAGCTGGTTTGTTGTTTTGCAGACGTTTCGTTACCATGATTGGTAACGAAACATCTGCAAACAACAAAACAGCTCAGCGAGCCAACCAACTCTAACTAAATAAGAGAGAGGACATGGTAAAATGACACAAAATAAAAGCTTTTGAAGGTACTCTCTGATGGTGGGTGAAGTGAGTAACCAGAACAGGTAAATCAACTGAATGTATGAAGTGCACATTACTGATTATTCTTTCAGTTTTTCAAAGAAAAAAAAAATCATCGTTAAATATTCTGAAGTATCTTGCCAGCAAATATGTTTAACTCTTTTCGCAGTTGAGATTTCCGTTTTGAATGAAGTAATGAAAAGCACTCAGAAAACAAAGGTTATATATTATATTATTAAATATGGATATTTAATCCTTATTACATTTTGACTGTTCCATAAAATACTGACATCTATTTATACACAGCCTCAAAATTAACAGAATTTAAGAAGGCTGAGGTAAATTCTAGATTAACCCTAATTATATAGTATTTTAACTTTCACTATCTCTTAAAATAGACAGTCGGCAATTTACATAGGAATTAACTTCTGTATCTTAATGATTGAGGTCATGCCTTGATTAGCAGGCCACATAATAAAAATTCTGAATGGCAAAATTCACATACAAAAGATTTACATTTGTTCTGTGCTCCTTGCCATACTATTTTCTTACTATGTTGCTTAATGTAATGTTTTGATGCTCATCACATTTAGGTATGAACCTTGCAAAAGACGGACTTAATGTTAACAATCTCATCATTGCAAAATCAAATCTTATGTAGTTCTTAATTAACTTTTTTGAGGGGGTAACCTTTGAAAGCAAGTGAAGGACAACCAGCTAAGATTTTTTTTTAAAACAAAGGTTTATTTGCCAAGACAATTACATCAATGTTGCACATACACAACATGGAAATTGCATTCACCAATTTAAATAAAACACACACACACGCTCACGCACACACAGAATACAAACTCAGTGTTAACAAGTTCATCATTGCAACATCAAATTGGTAAATACCTAATGCAACATGTCCATGCAATTCCCAATGATTTATGTTTAGTGGGGTGGTGGTGCTGTAGGTAGGACAGGGACGGAAATGCACTCACCTCCAGGTTAAGCACTTAGAAAATACAGTATTGGCTCTTACAGGTTAAAGTTATAAAGTACTACAAGACGTTAAAGAAAAAAAAACTAACAACTACAGATTCATTGGAATGTCCTTGAGAGCAAAAAGATATAAAATGTTACAAGTTTTCTAAACTGTGGTATAACAATATTCCAAAACCATTATAGAAAATTAACAACAGCATTGTAGGTGCCCATTTATTTTCAGCTAGAATGTTTGTTCAATTCTGGTATTTTTATTGGGATAAAGAAATCCTGGAGGTCTGAAGTAAAAATTGAAACCTCTGCTCTAACGCAAGGTCCTGCCTACACTAACATGTCACTTTTCTTTTTAGGTACTGATTGACCCATTTCCTGCATTTTCAGTTTCCTCCTCCAACACGTTTCCATTGAACTCTGTTCCACTGCCTATTAAGACACAACAAAATATGCCTTGTGCAATTTTTTAATCTAACTTATAGGAAGCATTTCTGTTTCTTTCCCCTCCAAAAGAACTGAAATGTTCTGTGGCTGAACTGTTTTTGACAACAGAAATCAAGGGAGATTTATATAAATTTCACCTTATATTAATCCAGACAAAGTTAATATTTCAAATGTCCTGTTATCTAAGGTCAGTCCCAAGTGCTATTCTTCTGAGCATGTCTACTGACACCACATTTCCATTTGTGTTTCTAACCCTGGAGCTGACCCTAGCTCTAATGCTAACTACTAACTTCCAACTTTAATCTGAACATCTAAGCCTTAATTGCAACCCTGATATTTTGTCCCCAAACCCTAAAGTTAATCCCAGACCCCAAACCTAATCCCAAGTGTTATAATTAAACACAAGCCTCTAACAACTAATCCTAAAAGCTAATAATAACCAAAATTCTAAACTTAACCTAACTAATTCTAAACCTAGAGCAATAGTGTGATGTAGGCCAAGCTATTGTGTCATCATTAAGGATGCAGGTCAACAGCGTTATCAATAGCCATTCCATATTTACTTCTGAATAAGAATTAATTCCAGTTATATGGTTGCATGCGGAATTTTGCATTTCCTCAGTTTCCTTAATGAAATTGATGCATTCTGGGAATACTGGAGTCCGGGAAGGGGTTAGGTGGGAGTCAGGAAGGAATGAGGAGGAAGTTGTAGAGGAGACCTGGAATCTGAAAAGGGAGAAAACCCAAAAGGGAAGAGGTAGACAGGTGCTCAGGGGGGAAAAGAGAATCAGGGCCTACAAGAGAGCTGAATGGTGGTGTGAAGGAGTCAGGAGAACTGAAGATCAACGTGAAGATAACAAGGGCTTGATTGAATGAGGCGAGGCAAGCCAGGCTCAGTGGCAGAAATGGTGTGAAAATGTGCTGCCTGATTATTTTAAATAGGTTAGTACTTTTCTTAAATAAAATGAACAGAAAAATTTCATGTGAACACATTAATATCATCATATTTCAAAGTCACACATCTTAATTTCAACCAAAAAGTGTTTTTAAAACAACAAGTGTACGATGCGCCCCTACTGACCCCTCTCAATACTCCTTCCACTTCATCCATTTTTTAAACAAGATTATTCCTTTTGAAAAATTGACTGCAGTGCTTGAATTCAGAAGGAGTATTGTAATTTTAGTGTGGCTAAACGTTGCCTAACAGCCGTTCACAAATAAATTAGAACAAGTTGAAGACCAGGCTGTTGAAGACGATACTCACTTTACAGTGCTGAGAATAAATCAGTTCAAACATCCAAACTTAAAAATAATAAACTTAATAGTTCTGTCAGTGATTAGGCCTGTGAAATAGTCAAGTATCCTTGTATTCTCAAAAATTTGGAAAAATAAAATTCTGAAGCGTATTTGTCAAACATTTTATGCATGGAAAGACTAACTTTGAAGTTTGGGTCGTGAAACTCACTGCGTCCTCTGTGATTTGATCCTATTGGCAATTGTACAGTTTAATTTAACAACCAGCATTAAACTGTTTAGTGAATCACCAGAAAGCTTTAAAAGAAAATGACTTTTTAAAATTTTGTTTAACTGGACCTTCATTTTAAAACTGACTATAGACTTCTGACTGCTTTGCAAACATAGTTGATTAAGGTAGTCACAGCAGTTGAAACACTATCAGAAGTCATAAGGCAAGGTGGCCACAGTGGCTCACTGCCAGGTTGCTGCACCACAAACAGACGGAAGGGTTTACAGTTTCCCTTCAGGGTGTTTACACAGTTTCCAATGGGTTGTAACACTGAGGGGACAGGCAGGAAGTGAGGCTGAACACTTTCACAGCAAGAGAAAAACAGGGACAACAACATGATGATGGGAGAGTTGCAAAGGCTTCAACTGTACAGATTCCCATGAGTAAATCCAACTGGTGGCATTAGCAGAAGCAGAGTTCAAGACCAATCAACTGACTCCTTCCACTGACTGTGACCGGTGTGTGTCGGGGAATAAGGAGGGGAGATTGATGAAAGGTAAAGCTGTAAAACTATATTATTTTACTTTCATGGGATACTGCAGGAATGCATGTACAGCATGGAAATATACACAAAGCTTTCAAAATCAGTTTACGATCAAACTACTCACAACACATTTAGCAAATAGGGATGCATGAATTCTGCACTTCCCCTTTCACGGTTTCAGAGGATAGCACATTACAGATTACACCATATATACAATTACGGAAGGAGGAGATAAACACTTAATAGCCCAATATTTTAAAAATAGATTATGCAATCCACTCTGACTATCACATAAGATAATTTCAGTGAACAGGGGATCCACAAAGTTAAGACCTTTGAATAAGACCCTCAATGAAGAGATTATAAACCAAAAGAAAACATATGGAAAGCATGTGCAAGTGTGGAAACATCAGTTCTAATCAGGGAATGATGACATAAAATTGAAATGTTCCATTAAAAAAAAATGAAAACTTCAGGGTGCTGCAAGTTATTTAGAGTCAGATTCCAGTCAAGAGTTGGATGGTATTTATATTCTGTGGCCCATTCTATTTGTGCGTTGAAGAAATCACGTCAAAAATCAATCTATTTTTCTTGCATTGGTATGCCATGATGTGTAATAGTCTGGTCAAAATCAATCTTTTGTTAAATAACTCTGCCTGGTCACAAATAGCTCAGTTCCTCGTGCTGAGAAGATAGGATTCTACAGGTCTTGTGAAAACAGATCTTTAGTGACACCCATACCATTTGGCAAACAACCCACAAATGATCTAAATGAATGGGTCTGCCACAGATAACAAATATATTCCACTTATACCGAAATTGTTGCTTGTTCTGTGTCTATTTTCTTAATTTATATTTTTTCTTTTTTTTTCCACCACCCAAGTTCTATTTGGTAAAGTGACTGATGACTGGGCAGTACTAGATAAAAATAACATAATTCTGGAGACTTCAGATTTCAAATACAGTGTGGCCTCTTATTTTATACAAAATCACTAGAATTAGGGGAGACTAAAGTCCAGGCTGAGTTTTTGTCACAGTATAGAACTGAACCTGTTCTAAGTCCTAGGTTTGGGTCGTGAACATGATACAGGCAAATGCCCACGTCATTTATAGCATTTTACGGGCATCAACTCTGTCTATGATGGATCAGTCTGGATAAAATGGCCAAAAACATTTTTTCATTGCTTGGATGCTTCTTGGCACTATTGCCTCTTTACTATATTGTGACAGGAATTGGTATTGGAGGGGCCAATACACAGATGTTGCACAGCAAATATGTCTACATTATGCTGTACATGGGCTGTAGATTAGGTCAGTGATAGTGAAATTACTAATGTGCAGATTGACATCTGTCAGTCCTGTTTTAAATCCTAAAATGATAACAAAGGACAAGATGGGTGGAAAAAGCAGCTGACCTTAATCCTTCAGAATTTTGTATGGGGGATAAAGGGATACAAATGATCAGAGGAAATTACTGCACCCCAATTACTCCCTGTGCCCAATTTATGCAATTTCGGTCTTAAATTTGAGTTTGAATTTTGGATTTGGGCAGCTTCAAAGTGATAATAGACTGAAAATAAATTGGTCGTGGTCGTTGTCACAGAAATTCGAGAATGTCTCTGCTCCTCGATTGTGAAGGCAGCATTTGTAGTCAAACTTCTGGAACGTAGAATTTGGATCATTATTTTCTCCTTTCTTCAAAAAGATTTTTGGAACTGGGTGTGGCTTGTTGGAAGTTCGGTACATTCCACATGGTTTACTGACTACAGACAATTTGGGATAGATTTCTACTCTGAGAAACCAGTTACTGTCTGATATAATCCCTAAACCCACAAAATGTTCACATATCCTAAACAAAACTTTGTTTGTTGTGTGCTGAAGACTATGGTCATGCAATTACCCTTACTTAGCCTAAAGTTGACCTTGTTATACTTTAAAATCATTTAAAGTTTCAGTGACTTATTTTATCTGATCAGAGACAGCTCCAAACACTGAATAGTCTGCTTAACATTATCACTCCGATGTTGTTAGGCTCAGTGTTAGCACTGAGCCTTAATTTTTGATTTTGTATCAGTGTGTGTAAAATCTGCAATGTAACAATTAAGTTATTTTAAATCCGGAATGTTATGTTCAGATCCAAAGATATTACAAATTTCTGGTGATTTTATATTGTACAATTTAAGTCTGGGATTTTGTTTTGATGGTTTTTAAGGCTTCAGGCATTTCAGACAGTTACCTCCAAATGACTTGACAACTCAGAAAAAGGTCATAGAGATATATTCAGAAACATGATCCAACTATTGAAGGCCAAACTATATTGTGCTAGTTTCATCTAGGAATGTTTAAAACATGAAGCTACGTACATAACTATTCGGCAGTAAATAGCTGGTTAAATTGTTATTCAGATTTAGATATCGATCAATGTACCCTTTTGAATAATTAGGGTAGCTTAAAGACAAAATAAAAACAACCATGGTTATAAGCAGAGATTAATAAATAATATCTGACACTGGAGAAGATATGGCTGACGAGAACAAAGCTGAGCTGCATCTTCAGTCGGACTTCTTTCTCCTCAGGTGCAGAAATAGACTGGAAGAGAGCCAAAAAGAAGCATTGAAAATCAGAGAGAACAACTATACTGGGAAAAGATGGAGTTCTGAAACAAAACTACCTTAAAAGGGAGTTGAAAACCAGAGGGTGCACTTTACCATCCCAAAACAAAGGCGAAGCTGTGTTGGGCCAGGAGACTGCAGCAAGCACAGATTCTGGGATTCCCGCCCGTATCATCATGTGATATCTTTAAGACTTTAGGACCAGGGATGGGTTATAATCCTGATACCAGCATCTCCACTTTGGAAGTGGTGATTTCAGAGCCCCCATCATCAACTTTCATGGAGATGGGCGTGCTCCTGTAGACTGCTGTTTTTTTTTTTTTTTTACACCCCACCAGTTCTGAGGAGTCGTGAACCGTGGGTGAAACATGTTGGTCAGGTTTGTTCTGAGGAGTCGTGAACCGTGGGTGAAACATGTTGGTCAGGTTAATGGCGAGCCTTTATACATAAAGCCGTATTATCGACCCCAACATTAAAAGGTCATAATGAAATTTTAAACTTGCACCTGTCAATTGTTTCCTGACTCCAGAACAAGGTTCCCTCATGGTTCAGATTCTGACGTTATCACCCCCGAAATGGTGTTGTTGGGTTGGAACTGCTGTGTGTGGACTTTTGAGCTGTAAGCTTATTCCATGCCTTTAAAAATACCACATTCCAACATAGGAATGGAGGTAGAAATCCCAGAATCATTCCCAGTTCTTTTTACACTGTCCTGACATGGATTTTCTTCTTGTCATGATGGCAAGTTTTTGCTGCTACTGTAATGAATTCCATCTAGCCACTAAAGCTAAAATGGCAAATGAATCTTCATAAAAAGGACAGACAGCTTCAATTGGAAGTCAAGGATGGGAATCAACTAATTCTCTAGAATGAGAGCTTCCCATTTAGCCACCATCCACTTAGATAAAGCCCAAACTGAATAGAGGGGCAGAGGAGAGAAGATGAGATTTAAAAATAAAGGGAGCAGGATCATGCCTGCTCTACTATTCAATAAGATCACAGTGATCTGCTTGTTGCCTTCACTCCACTTTCCTGCCTACTTTAAATAACCCTGGACTCCCTTCTGGATCAAAAATCTTTTGAATGCAGTCTGTAATTTATCAATGACCCTCAGAGAAGGAATTCCTCCACTTCTCCGTATTAAAAAGGAGGCCCCTTATTTTTAAAGCTGTTCCCCCGGTTTTAAAATCTCCAAAAGGGAACATCCTCTTGTATTCGATCCTGCTTAGACTTCTCAGAAAGTGATGTTTCAATAAGATCACCTCTCATTCTTTTAAACGCCAATGAGTATTTTTTCAAACCTGAATTAAAGCTATAAACTAAGGCAGCTGGAGCAGAGTTATCATGTATTCCAGTTAAAAGTACTTACTTATGATAACGATGATAATGAATGCACAAATTGCTCCAAGTATAATCATCATCTGGAAGTATGACAACAGAAAAATACGGTTAGCAGTATGACTCTGGTATAATGTTATAAAGTGAGATTTAGTTAACTTAGTTATTTTCTGAATACATTTTGTACATCAATCCTCATTCAATTTAGTGATATATATGACATGAAACTTAAGATACAGCAGTTATTGTAGAGAATAATGTGCACATTAATACTACAGAGTACTAAGTGTTGGTTAATACAGAAATGGAAGATTGCTGTATATCTGTTCATTGCCACTTTCTATGGATTTCAGTTTCATACATACCACATTGTTACATCTGCAGCACAAAACAGGCCATTTGGCACAACCGATTTAGGCTAGTGTTTTGTGCTACACTGGTGTCTCTCAAATCACTCTTCAGCAAACTCGATCACTATACGCTTCTAGTCATTTCTCCTCCCGTGCTTATCTTAAGTGCATCTATGCTATTCACCTCAATACTCCTTGTAGCAACATGTTCTACATTTTCAGTACTCAGGGTGGCAGTGGCTCAATGGTCAGCACTGCTGCCTCACAGAGCTAGGGATCCAGGGTCAATTTCACCCTTGCGCTGTCTGTGGAGATTGCACATTCTCCATGTCTGCATGGGTTTCCTCCAAGTGCTCTGGATTCCTCCCACAGTCCAAAGATGTGCAGATTAGGTGGATTGGCCATGCTAAATTGTCCAGGGATGTGCAGGCTAGGTGAAATGCAGGGTCTGGGTGGGATGATCTTCAGAGGGTTGGTGTGGACTTGATGGGCTGAATGGCCTGTTTCTGCACTGCAGGGATTCTTTGATAAAAGGAATATACTTTAAGAGCCTTTAGAAGGTGCCCAATTTTAATTGTAATCACATATCTTGTCTACAAAACTTTAGTTTGAATGCTTTGAAAGTGTTTTCAGCTGAAACTAACTGTTTCTCTCTCCACAGATGCTGCATGACCAGCTGCATGTTTCTGATATTTTCAGTTTTAATTTACTTACTAGGCAATCTGCAACGTAAACCAAGTGAAGAATTCTTCAGGTGAAGTGGAGTTAGATGTCAAGGACAGTTGGACCATGACAGAAAGCAGTCATTCAGTCCTAATTCTAAAGTCATATACTCTACACTAATATTTAAATAATAATGACATTATAAATGGGGCGCAATTTAATATCAAAATAGTAATGGGGCTAAAGGTGCTTACCATTGTCTTATGCTAATTACACAACAACTCAGGTGATTAAAGATACATAGTTAAGCACGAAATACAGCGAGTTGCTGTCCAAGATGCGCTGCTCTGCATAAACTGTATGAAAGCAACATCTCACTATTTGGCTATCATTCAAATGTGTCAAACAACTAAGTTTTTGAACTAAAGTCATGGAAATGAACTAAACTTGCCATGCAAAGAGTAATTTTCACTTAGTCCACTTTAAGTTCTTTTTCTATCTGCACGATAATTCTTAATTGAAGCAAACAAGAATCTTTGAATAATAACCGTTACAAACGTGGGGTCAATGCTTTTAAGATTCCAATTGCTGTTGGAGGTTTTAAAATGTTCATAAACTGTTTTTAAAAGTTTTATTATTTAAAATGGAAAAAAATCTGCAACATAAGAAGGGACTTAGGGGTACCTGTGCATAAAACCACAAAAAGCTAGCTTACAGGTGCAGCAGATAATCAGGAAGGCTAATGGAATAGTGGCCCTTATTTCAAATGAGTTGGAGTGCAAGGGCAGAGAAGTCTTTTGCAACTGTACAAAGGTGCTGATGAGACCACATCTGGAGTACTAGTGAGCAGTATTGGTCCCCTTATTTAAGGAAATCTATCATTTAACATGGGGCTCAGAGAATGTTCATGAGGATGACCCCTGGTGCGGAGATATTGTCTAAGGACCAAAGGCTAAACTAAAGTACTTTGCTCACTGGAGTTTAGAAACATGAGGCATTATGATGGGTACAGACATGGAGGGCCAACAGGCCTGTTCCTGTTCATTGAAATAATATTGGATTCTTAAGGGGCTTGACAGGGTAAATGCTGAGAGGATGTTTCCACTCATATAATCATCAATTCTGCACCGATCCTCTGACAAGTGTCCCACTCAGACCCACCCCCCCACTTTATCCCTGTAACCCCACATTTTCCATGGCTAATCCACCTAGCCTGCATATCCCTGGAAACTATGGACAATTCAACGTGGCCAGTCCGCCTAACCTGCATATCTTTGGACTGGGGCTGGAAAGCAGAGAGAACGTGCAAACTCCACACAGACATTTGCCCAAAGCTGGAATTGAACCTGGGTACCTAGCACTGTAAGCACTGCTGACCACTGAGCCACCGTGCCACCTAGACTCTCATGGTAGAGTCTTGGAGCAGAAAGCATACTTTTCGAATAAAGGGCTGCCAATTTAAGACTGAGGTGAGGAGGAATTTCTTCTGAGGTTTTTAGGTCTTTGGAACTCCTTGCAACAAAACTGTGGTGGGTGGAGGGTGAGTCCTTGTGTATATTTAAAGCTGAGATGGATAGATTCTTGATCAGTAAAGGCAAGAAAGTGGACATGAGGAATCTCGGATCTACTGTGATCCTATTGAATGGTGGAGTCGGCTTGAAGGTCTGAATAGCTAACTATTATTCCTATTTCTTATCATGCCTAAATCCAATTAATTTTCTCAGCCGATCAGATATATAATTGATCTCAGTATTATAGTTTGCATTCCCTGGTTTAGACCCTGTTTTTGCCATTGACAATTTTTCAACCTGATTAAGGAGGTCCAGTTGTTTGCCTTGATCACATAGATCCCAGATCTCTTGTTGCACAATGTAATTCAGATCTCTTACTTATAGCAGCATGTTTTGCGAATGATTACTCAAATTAAACCCATGAGAAAAGACTAACCATTTGCTGGTTATTGCAATTCTGGCTCATTACTATCGATGGTTGAATACCAATCCTTCGAACAGCTTGGGAAGTGGAAAAGGAGTATTGGTTGAAGCATAGTAGCTTCTTTCAGTACAGTAAGAAGTAGCACACCAGCATCACTAAAAGGTGGCTGGAATTAATGTCACATGTTTTGGAAACAGAGAATTTCTAGTGGAAAAAATAAAGTTGATACAAAGATATAATGGGAAGCAAAGTTTTATAGGGAAGAAGTGTGTTTGTAATTAAGATCCAAAATTTGTACAAATTTTTAGAATGTGGTTGATATAAATAATACTCATTCATGTCATAAATTCCTTCGCAATTACACAATGTTGGATCAGGACAAAAAAAAGCAAAACTGACAATTGTGAACTGAGAGTCATTGAGTCATATAGCACAAACAGACTCTTTGGTCTAACTCGCCCACGCCGGCCAAGTTTCCCGAACTAAACTCGTCCCATTTGCAAGTGTGTGGCTCACATCCCTCTAAATCTTTCCTATTCATGTACCTGTCCAAATATCTTAAATATTGCAACTGTACCTGCATCTACCACTTCCTCTGGCAGTTCATTCCATGTACGAATCACCTTCTGTGTGAAAGCATTAGCCTGATGCTACAATTATACCTACTACATATTTGCTATGGATATTAATTTGGTTGTAGCCACTTAGACAATTATTGTCACAAAATTCTAATTGCTAACACGCCTTCTTTCAAAACCAATACATTAGATCTTCGTACTTACTATGCTGTGATCAGATTATTTTGTTGAAATGAATGTTTATTGTCTGTTTTACAGATAATCTGTGTATACAGAAGTCCATGCACACTTTTACCAATCTGTATTTTGCACAGATTTAACTGCAGGTACAAATTTTGTGTCACATGACTCCACGACTCTAGAAAGATGGTGATTCTTATTATAGCAGTGATCACTTGACTTCAATATGCAGAAAGGTTTGACCTAATCATATCCATGACATACGTTGATCATCTACGTTCACGTTGCTGATATTACATTAGCAGAAAAAAGAAAGTCCTTGCCGTTGCTTCCAGCCACTTGAAGGTCATGTTTTTCTAAAATTACAGCAGCCTCACAGCGGACAGTGGAACCCAAATGACAGAAAACATCTAAGTTAACTGGTTTTAAGAAAAGTGTTGCATTACTAACGGTAAAAATGAGTGAGTGAAAAAAAGAAATGGAAAAGCAACATTTTAACAAAAGGTAACATTTTCCCCAGTTACAAAGACATCATAAATACTGTTTTGTTTTAAATTTTGAGAGACATATCACAAAAAAAATCTGACTTTTTAACAAATAGAGTCAGAGATGTACAGCGCGGAAACAGACCCTAACGTCCAACTTGTCCATGTCAACCAGATATTCGCGATTAAGCTAGTCACATTTGCCAGCATTTGGCCCACATCCCTCTAAACCCTTCTTATTCATGTACCAATCCAGATGCCTTTTAAATTGTTGTACTTGTACCAACCTTCACCACTTACTCTGGTGGTACATTCCATACAGGCACCACCCTCTGAAAAATTTGCCCCTTAGGCCCCTTTTAAAGTCTTTCCCCTCTCACTTTAAAGCTATGCTATCTAGTTTTGTACTCCTCTCTCTGGGGAGAAGACCTTGGCTATTCACCTTATCTATGCCCCTCATGATTTTATAAACTTTTATAAGGTCACTCCTCTGCCACCGATGCTCTGGGGAAAATAGCCCTAGCCTATTCAGCCTCTCCCCATAGCTCAGACACTCCAACCCTGGCAACAATCTTGTAAATCTTTTCTGAACCCCTTCAAGTTTCACAATATCTTTCCTACAGCAGGGAGATCAAAAATAAACACATTCAGTTCTGAAGTAGCGTTATTATAACAGAATTAAAGCTAGTCTTGACCTTTAAAAAGATTTATTACTTTAATATTATATTCTACTCTTTGTGACCGAGTTCATAAACTATGTGATAAATTTTAGGAAATAAATCCTATTCAGTTAATTATAATATTAAGCCTAACAATACTAAACATTTTGATTGCATTCAAAATTTTATATTATTTAACAGATAGTATGGGCAAATTTAGGGCTGTAACAAAATTTAGAAGTTTAAATGTCATGCCTGAAAAACTGACATTTTGGGACAGAAGTTTCCCTTTGTTTTTAAAATGTGGGTGTGCATATGTTGGATGATGGTACAGCCAAAGAGCCCAGCAAGATAACTCACCCAATTGCCCACCTAGCAGTACATAAGGATTGACAGGCAACCAACTCACCCTATCAATGAGTCACCAGAAACTGCTGGCCAAACAGAGGCCAGCAACTTCAGGGATGTGAAGTCTACCAGTCAAGGTCCACTCCTTTGGGAATTCTGCAGCGAGGTACGAAATCATTTTTCCATTCTAATTGCCGGTTGTAAGTGGTTAGGAGAACCAGGTCACAAGGGTCAGAGGCAAAGACAGGGATGGCTTTTATAGGCAACATCCTTGCCGCTCATTTGTACCTCTGACTGCCTCCAGACTGGGGCAGTTTCCACCAACCTAACCTGGCAGTCTGAAATTAGCTAGCTTTCCAGCTACCTGGGGAGGTAAGTGATAGGGGAGTTGAAAAGTTAAATGGCAATTAATTGATCATTGAAAGGCTTTCATTACTGGCAAGTTGAAAGAGTCCTGAATAGGCCTCCCTGCCCAACATTTAATTGATGCAGTGTCCAAGGTCAAATAACCCTGTTATCCCTTGCCATCACCAGGGACAGAAAATTTCTTGTGGTTTGTGTTTTTCCAGACTTTGGAACTCTGACAAAAGATGGTGAAATCAGAAACTTTGAATATTTTTAAGGTAGCGGTAACTACACTTCTGACAAACAAGGGATGTATGGTTCCGGGGTGGTGGTGGTGGTGGGGGGTGGGGGGGATGGGTGTTCTGGAGGCATGGAGGATGGGCTGGGTGTGGCGGTGGAGCAGAATTTGAGTAATTGAATCGGTCATGATCTTTGATTGGTGGAGTATAGTGGCCTACTGCTGTTCCTAATTCATGTGTTTGCATGTTAATGCTATACCATCCATTACATCTCTGGGCATTGCTCAGTTTTAGAGTATATGATATTCTGTTGATTCAAACAAACATTCTCACCTTGCAGTTTTTCCACCAATACTTCCTCTTCAGCTTAGCAGCACTTGTTTCAAATTGTGATGCCCCAGCTTGGAGAGCATCTGCACGATCATCGAGCTCTGATAGCTTCTGATCTCGCTCGAGGACTTTGTCCACATTCACTCGCATGATGTCCACCACCTGGAAAGAACAGAACATTTCCCACTGTCTAGCTCTTGACTAGGTGTAATATTTTACTGGTATCTCAATGCACTGTGTTAATCAAGAAGGTTCAATAGCTTGCTCAGGGCCTGGGAAGTGGGGGACTGCACAGTTATCAGAGTTATATAGCTCAGCTACAGGTCTTGGCATGACATTTTTCATTCCATACATGATCCATGCACTCTTCTAGTACTTGGCTAGCTTTGCAGCCCTGATGGACGTATCATTCTGTAGATGAAACATTAAACTCAGGTCCTGTATATCTCCTCAGATGGACATAAAAGATCCCAGGACAATGTGAAGAACAACAACGGTGTCCTACCTGCACCCTGGTCAATATTTACCTGTTAACCAACATCGCTGAAACTAGTTGTTAACTGTTCATTTGTTTCATTTCTGTTTGTGGAACCTTATTGTGGAAAAACTGGCTGACATTTCCTGCATTACAACAGTGGCTACATTTCTGAAGTTTTTCATTTTCTGTGAAGGAGTTAGGGATATCCTAAGGTTGTGAAAGGTGCTATATAAATGCAATGTTTTTTAAACCTGTGCATTAAATTGTAGCATACATTTTTCGAATATTACTTCCCAACTAGGAACCTCAACTGTACAAACTTCTAGCAGCTCCTTCCATGACAGCAGCAGCATAATTCATAACCCTATAAGACCAATGTCCATCACCCTGACATATTGGAGTACTCATGTACGTCTTTCTACCCATGTCAATACTTCAATGTTGTATTGCTGGTTGTAAAAGGTAAAAAGAGGGAACTGTAACAGGCAGTGAATGAAGAAAACATTTTGCTTCTCCACATCTAGAGATGTCAAAGCCCTGGAAATGTGTCACTCAACTGATCCCATGTGTAACAGCCATTATTTATCTGACAAAGAGAAGGGATTTCTCTGTTGTAAATGTTTGCAGTTCAGTAGATGCTGGTTGAGATTTGTAAGGTTATGAATTGCAATTTCAGACTGTACAATATCCCACACACGATCATCATCCCTGGGCATGTCCAGCAGACACTGGATCCAATGAATGTCAAGGCACCAGGTCAAATATGCCTGATCATTTTTCAATGTTCTTCCTCCCAAAATGGATCATTTCACACTTTTTGAATACCATCTAAGAAAAGCAGTACACTTGCCTGGCACCACATAAAAGTGTTCACCCCTTTCACCACTGGCTCTCAATAGCAGCAATGCGTATACCATCCACAAGATGCATTGCAGAAATATAGCAAGGCTCCTTAGATAGCACCTACCAAACCCACAACCACTACCATCGAGAAGCACATAGGCAGCAGTTACATGGGAACAAAACCTACAATCTCCAAAGTTACTCACCATCCAGACTTGGAAATATATCACCTATCCTTCAGTGTCATGGATTCAAAATCTGGAACTCCCTCCCTAATGACATTTTGGGTGTACCTATAGCAAATGGATTGCAGCAGTTCAAATGGGCAGCTCACCACCATCACCTTCTCAAAGGCAACTAGTGATTGGTAATAAATGCTGGCCCAGCCAGCAAAGCCTACAACCTACGAATTAATAAACCAAATTGTCCAACTTAATATTATTTAGGTTTAACAGGCAGGGAAGGAGTAGGGAGCATCTGTCCATTAGCCAAAATCAATTAGATTCAATGTCAGAAATTGTTTACATATATTTTCCTCCATTTCTTGATGCAGGAAAACAACAATAAGCATAAAGCAAAAAATTAATGTCCTCTTCACTGTTGATGAATTATATCAACATATTGTGCTGTTTGCAATTGTTTAAAAGTATATTGTTTAAATCTTGGTGTGTTTTAAACAGTCTATTTCAAAAACAATTGAAAATGTGTTTTTAAACCTTTATGGACCAGCAGCAGAAGAAGTCATTTTTTTTCCCAGTTACCTATGAAAATTTTAGGCTTTAATGTTGCAAAATGTCTCAGTATTCTTAAAAACACAGTGAGACAACATTTAACACAAATAAAATGTGAGTATTGAAATCAGATTTGTGTCTGTAATCTATTTGGAAAATCTACATACATTTACGGTCTATTTCAACTGGGTCTGTGTGTCGCTAATGCTCAGGGGCTAAAAGATTTTACAACATTCATTGTTGTCAGCCTCACCAACTCAGATGGAAACATAGGGCCACCTAGTGGGCGACTTACAAAAGTGGCAAAATGCTGAAAAGATTTTGGGCCAAGGATGTGGAGTTCGCTCAATGCTGTGCAAATACGGTGTTCAGACCTAATATTGGGAAACAGAGACTTTGTGTTAAACTTTGCTTTTATACCATAATTCATTTTTAGAAGATGAGATGGAGGACATATTCCTAGACATACGTCAACAGAAAGTACTCAGAAGCAGTAAACTGTTTTGGCTTATCTTGGCATTTTACGTAGTGCCTCTGGTAGTTTGGCTTTTTATTGAAACCTCATATATGCTAACTTCATGCAGTGCTCCGACTAACCCTGCTCTAAAAACTTACAGCTACGGCAACTGTGCCTTGGTAATAGCCATGTTTTGAAGTGTTTGTGAAATGTCCTTTTGTCCACATGAAGGAAATATGAGGCACCTGACTATAGTTTTAAAACCACCCTCCTTTGCCAACTCTTAAACCTCAGATCAACTAGATCAAATGTCAATGGCCTTAAGTTCCCCTTTCCTCAGCCCAGCCCCAAGTGGAATTGAACTTACCTCATCAACTTGAGCCTGTGTTTGCTGCAGCCTTCTGTTGCTGGTCGTATTGACTGGTTGTGCTGGTCCTCCATCTCCAGGATTTCCTGGCCCTCCTGGTGGACCTCCTGCAGCAGGAACAGCAGCAGCCTGGGATGGGACTGACCTACAAACCGAAATAAAACAGACTCTTGTTGACAAGATGTTGCCAGCATATCAAAAGGATGCTAAATCCCCTAGACAAGCCACTAAACTAGCAATCTTGAAACAGGTGAACTGATGTGGCTGCAGGGGCGTTTTACAGCCAAAAGCAGGTCATTAGTGTAGGTCTAATTGTTGAAGAAGAACTATTTTACGGGTTTCATGATGAAACTCTCATTCAACCATGGAGGTGCACTCTACTTCATTTAAATAGACACAAATCCACTGATCTCATCAAATGAGGTTTATTCCTTAAGTTTCAATTCCAAAAGTCAACTCCAAAGTTATCATTTTGTTTTAATAAAAGGAGATGTTGACAGTTTCGCTCTGCTTAGTCATACATTTTCTTGTCCGTAATTTCATAATTCTGGAGTAGAAATACAGTCAGAGCACAGAAATGGAAATGGAGCAGGACATTTTGTAGAGGGATTAGGACAACAATGCTGGGGTCAATTTAGATCCCAACCCACATCGGAAATAGTCACCCAATAGGTTTTTCAAAGAAGTGGTCAAAGTTTAATTAAGAATGGAAGATAGCCTCCCAATATTGAAGTGCTAATAGGAGATCCTCCAGCACTGTTTATTTCTGAAATATATTCATACTTGAGGAACTTTCTTTCGTGGGTGTACCACATCAAAGTCATGGTAATGAATACTTGTTTTGGTCACTGATGTTCTTGGTAGGAAAAAGCATGCAGAGATAAATACCGTTTAATTTTGGTTAATTGCATATTATCGAATCCTTATCTATTTTACAGGTAAAAATGACTCCCACTCATCAATTTATATTCATATAGCACCTTTAACAGAATATAAAGGGTTCCAAAAAGCATCATGAGAATATTATCAAGTAAACCACAGTGACTCAGCTGAATAAGGAGATGATCACCCAGATTTTGCTGTCCCAATACAGGTGAGTAGAAATGTTTGTCACCATGGAGACTTGGGCCTTTCTACGTGCACCGAAACCTGGAAGTTGCTGCACACCTCATTAGCGCCAAATGACTCTCCATGGGAGGTCTCATTTTGTCACTGTGCAAAGCAGCAGCTGTTCATACCTTGTCAATTTGGGAAGACGATCAAAGCTTGGTCTGAAAGGTAGCGTTGCGGTTCTGTGTGTAGTTACGCAAATTTACCTATCTCACACGAGGACTGGTACACAGACTGTTTGATGATCAGTAATTACTCAGCAAGCAGATTTGTTCCAATAGTTTATGAACTACCGTTACAGGAAAGCACAGCTATACTCTGAGAAGTTTCACTTGTCAACACTTCTCTATCACCTTTTCTTCCCTCAGGCACTCCTTAAAAGCTACCTGGTGTCATATCACTGGAACAGAAAATGCTGGCATGCAGGATGTGTAACACGTGATTAGCAGCCAGTGTCAGTCTAGATTGCAACGTATAATGTTAGACTGTATAACTGTGCTTTCTTGTAACAGTAGTTGAACTATTTTATTTTCTGGAGGTATACTGCTATTAAAATGCACAAAGGGATATGTTGGCAAGCTGGATAGAAGATCTTCTCCATCCCAGAATGGTCATTATAATTTTGCTCCGAATGATATCGTAAGCCTGTTGATTGTAAGCACACAATAATTATGCACAATATGCAACACCAGGGTGCACTCCTACCTTGTGGGGTTGATAAACAGCATCTGAATAAGATTTTAGAAGGCGGAATTTGCACTAATTGGTCCACTGTTTTCTTCAGATGATAATTATAATGCTACTGTTTGGAAGAAAATGGTTGAATCTGATAATTAAAATTTCCATTTAGTAAGAAATAGTAGGAACGTCCAACTACACTCGTGATGTTGTTTGAAAGAATTTACACAATTTATGACAACGTTAAGCTGTTCCTAAACCAAGTGTCTGAGATTCTCTAGGAAATCCCACGGAAATATAAATCCTAACTACAGCCCACAAAGCCAAGAACTCAGGCTGTTATTAAATGGCTTCATCATCCCATCTGTCTAATTTCTCTGTCTAATTTCCTCCAGCGTCATAACACGGAGTTCGCTGCACTTCTCCAATTCTGTCCACCTGATTTCATTGCTTCTCCTTTGGCAGCCATGCCTTCAGCTCTGAAATTCTCTTTCTAAAGCTTTCTTCCTTTAAAGAATCTGACTAGAACTAATCAGGTCACATGCACTCAAAAGTAGCCCATACTGGATAGGGTGAGGGAGTAAATGATAAAAAAAAAAGAGACTGAAAATGGGTGTGCGGACTGAGAGGTGCAATTAATCTGCACCTGTTCATTGAATTGTAGGAAGGACATCATTACTGTGTGGTCTGCCTATTTGAATAAGCGTAATACGTACTCTGTACCTAAACTGTAACTTCCTAGCACCACTTAAAAAAGGTAGCCCACATGTTTTAAAGGGAGATACTTTGTGACTGGCACTGGCAGTTGTACAGCGAGTGAATCTACTCTGGGAAACAATGAAAAATGGCACAAAGTGGGGAGAGCAGGCTCCAAGAATTTTCTATGCTGCACTGGAGATCTTGATGGAAGAAGAAGAAGAAATCACAGGGGGCATGCACTCTTCAATCGCATGCTCCAAAGGCAAAGGGAGCAGATAGATGTGGAGGGCAATACAAAGGGTCAAATCATGAGCATCTCACAAGAGTGGTCAAGGTCAGCGAATGTATCTTCAAAATGCTATTGCTCACCAACTCCAGGAGGTGCTGTGCCTGTCCCTACACCTCCCCCCTCACCTCCATCTAAGGCCCCAAACTTGCCAAATCCAACAGGGATTCACCTGCACATCCTTCAACCTGGCCTACTGTATCCACTGCTCCCAATGTGGCCTCCTCTACATCAGTGAGGCCAAGCGCAGACTTGGTGACCGATTCGTGGAGGATCTGTGCTCTGTACGTGACAAACAACAACACCTTCCAGTTGCCAAACATTTTAACTCCCTCCCACTCCCTGGGTGACATGTCCATCATAGGCCTCCTCCAGTGTCACAATGACACCACGCACAAACTGGAAGAACACCTCATATTCCACCTCAGGAACTTACAGCCTAATAGGCTGAACATGAATTCACCAGTTTTAAAATCTTCCTATGTCCAACCCTCCCTCTCATCCCTGCTTCCTTGACCTGACACAACCTGTCCATCTTCTTTCCTGAGATAACAAGGTGTAGAGCTGGATGAACACAGCAGGCCAAGCAGCATCAGAGGAGCAGGAAGGCTGACGTTTTGGGCCTAGAGCCTTCTTCAGAAATGGAGGAGGGGAAGGGGTTTCTGAAATAAATAGGGAGAGGGGGAGGCGGATAGAAGATGGATAGAGAAGGTAGGTGGAGAGGAGACAGACAGGTGAGAGAGGCGGGGATGGAGCCAGTAAAAGGTGAGTGTAGGTGGGGAGGTAGGGAAGAGATAGGTCAGTCCAGGGAGGACGGACAGGTCAAGTGGGCGGGATGACGTTAGTAGGTAGAAGATGGGGGTGGGGCTTGAGGTGGGACAAGGGGACAGTAGGAAGAAGGACAGGTTAGGGAGGCGGGGACGAGCTGGGCTGGTTTTGGGATGCAGTGGGGGGAGGGGAGATTTTGAAGCTTGTGAAGTCCACATTGATACCATTGGGCTGCAGGGTTCCCAAGCGGAATAGGAGTTGCTGTTCCTGCAAACTTTGGGTAGCAGCGTTGTGGCACCGAAGGAGGTCCAGGATGGACATGTCGTCTGAGGAGTGGGAGGGGGGAGTTGAAATGGTTCGCGACTGGGAGGTGCAGTTGTTTAGTGCGAACCGAGCGTAGGTGTTCTGCAAAGCGG